TCTTTTCACCGCGCCGGCTTTCACTGCACCCCTTCATGCAAAAAGAGAAACACACACACACACACTCACAAGAACAACTTCCTTAAAAAAAAAAAAAAAAAAGCCTGGCTCATTCTCGTGCAAATGATTGGGGGGCTAAATGCAAAACCAGTCACATTCCAACAAGATATAACAAATGGACTCGGCCCCGCGGCTCCAAAGGCAACAAGCTGAGGTTTGGTGGTGCAACATGGATTAGCTCCCCCAGGAAAAGAGGATTTTTTTTAACCCTGATTAACTGCCACAGTTGCCACCTCGAGCACATTTGGTAAATTAGCCGCGATGCTGCTAATTGAAATGAAAACCACGTTAAAAAAAAGATCAAACAATTAGTCCAAGAAGTCAAACATTCTCCGTTTCTAGACTTTTAAATAAGTTGGGTTTTTTTCCCCCCATGTTTGTGTCAGACTGACTATATTCTGGTGTTTAAATTACAAAAAACAAGCCGCAAATTAGGTGATTAAATAAACCTCGTCAAAATTTATCAGTGCCAGAAATGCAAAAAAAATGAAATTATTATATTTTTCAACTCAGTCACTCCAATCCAAACTAATCATGTAGCTTTCCGTTTGATTAAAGTCACTTTTATTTATTTTAAATGCCAAAAATAAACAGTTTGCTCGACCCAGATTCTGTTAAAAACAAAAACTTTTGTGCTTCTCCGCAAAACCACGAAGCCGTTTCTGAGTAAGGTGTGAACCGCAGTCGTGTGACAAAAATTCAGGAACTTTCAGCTGAACTGCAGGCTGTGTTCACAAAATCAAAGTCAAAACATACATATTGACTCCAGACTTTTTTCATTTTTTATAAAATTGTGCTTTTTGTCCCTCCACAGAGGTGCTGGACTTTATATTGGAGCCAGAAAACGAGCCCACAGCAAGTAAAACTGTGACGGAGCAAAAGGAAAACATCCAGAAAGTGCTTTAAAGTTCAGAGGGTTAAAACAAACGTCCTGTACTTTCCTATCTTTCACCTTCACCCTGGGCTGTGCAGACTGAGTGACTTGTGGCCATACATGGGCAGGAAATGCTGAGGTCAATGAAAAAAAAAAAAAAAAAAAGCATGAAGAACAGGATTTGTTTGGCCGGCTCTATCTCGGACAAACTGATAAAACTGCACACGGGGCTTCGTTGGCCAAACGGTCGACTACGCTGGGCAGCAGAGAGAGACTAAATGAAGCAACAACTTCCTCAAGGCATCCAAAAAAAAAAAAAAACCCAAAGCATTCCTGTCGTGCTTGTGGTTCCCAAAAACCCCTTTCTTGTATTCAGAGCACGTCCTATTGTCAGGTAGCAGAACATTGTTATCGATTAGCTGGGAACGCCAAAACCCACATACCAATAATGACCTCAGTGGGAAGAGAGAAGAAAAGGCTGCAGGGAGGGATTGTCATAGCTCAGAGGCTAAGTATCCATCAAAGGGAAGAGCAACAAGAAAGAGAAAGGGGAGAGAGGGGAGGCCAGCGTCGCAGCAACAACTCACCCAGGAGGCAAAAGCCAAAATCTGGAGCTCGTGTGGGGAGCAGCCGAACTGGGAAGGAGCATGTTTTGGTGGCCACAGTGGGTTCAGATGGGAGGAAGGAGTGGTCGGGTAGGTTGTCTGAACATTTAGAAATCAATAAACCCAACCGTGAAAGTTGCAGACGCCACTCATCAGGCGCTTACAGTGCAGTCCTGACATCCGTTTGAACATTTACTGACCATCTAGAATTAAAACTACCTTGGTCAAGAAGCACACTTTTGGCTAGTTTGACTTCTAACCAGTCAAAGCTTCGTTTATGGAGACTTGTGGTTGAAGTTGACTAGAAGGCAGCTCTGATGTGGTGGTAAAAAGGCGAGCCATGTGCAGAAAGAGCTGCAGCGCCTTAGTATGTTTGGAAAGCAAGCTACAGATATCTGCATCGTCGTTTTGCAAACTCTAATTCAAGCTAGCTGTATTTACATTCCAGCTGATCAGAATTACGACTTTAAACTTAAAGAATCTGAACTGGACGGCGTAGATGTGTTAAACTGAGCTAGAATCAAGCTGTAAACGTCTGAAACTGGAATTAAAATGAGTCATAACTCAGCGGCAGATGTCTGCAATGAGAAACACATGAACGGTGAAGCGAAGCATGTGACCGAATATCTGAGATGCTCTTTTTAATCAGGAAGAATTCAATTACAGATAACTGCAACACACACTGAACCGGCTGGCCACAGGAGTGTCCCTTGTGAAAAGGCCTTGCAGCCCCATTGAGATCCCTCCAAGTGTGCAAAATCTTCAAGAGGGCCGGTCAAGGTCACCAAAGGTCACATTCCAGAGGGGAAATCAAAAAAGAAGAGGAGGAGGAGGCGGAGAAGGGAGGAGGAGGAGAGGCTACGTAGCTCTGAGGAATGTAACAGACTGCAGGTCAACCTGACCGCCGGTGGAGAAGGCCGACGAAGTTCAGTCCTTCGAGGGTCCGATGGGAAACTTGTCACGCCGACACTCACTCCTGTGAAAAGCTGCAGCCTTTAAAATGATTTCAGGCTGCCCCAGAGTAAAAAACATACACGTCAGGCACGCGGCTAAACCTGCTTTTACACCATTTGTAGTGACCAGCTGGGCCGACTGGGGGGCAGGGTGCATGTGTTTGTATGTGGGTGGCATCCAACCCAGCCTACAGCATCACTGCACCAACTCCTGTGGATGTAAATAACAGCTCTACAACTACGACTGAAACACTCTTGGTTGAATATTCTTGGTATGCATCAGTCTCCAAACAAAAACAAGCACAGTTTAGTTGACCGATTGCTCAGAAAAAAGGATTAAAAGCAACAAAAAGCCCAAACAACAGTTAGAAAAACTCATTGTGTGCAAACACTTTAATCAAAACATGGTTCAAACCCTAAAAAGCAATAAAATTCCCACGACAATGCATCACCCGTGTATTTTAAATCACAAACCTTGATGCACATGTGGGTAAAACGCACAGTAATGAGCTGCTTAACAAATTCTTGTCAAATCCAAGCTAGCAAACAGCTTCATCCCCACAAAAAAGTCCTTGTCACATTTTCCAGAGCTGAAAATTAAACATTTGAAATATCTTCTTCTCATGTGCTGACCAACAATCTGAAACCCAAACAGTTTGCAAAAGCAGAAGACGAATACAACCATTATACGTTTTGTCCGTTGCCTGTAAAGCGCTCTGAAATCCGTTCGATTTGTTTGAAAAGTGCCAAGCAAATAAAGCTCGAGTTACTGATTGACGAGAAACAATGGCTTAAATCAACAACAAAAAAAACCCTGAAACGACAATGAAATGCATTCCTTCCATGTGCTATTGTCAAAAAGCACAGTTCAGGAGGCTGAGAAAGCAAGAAAATGAGCAAAATACTACATCATAAGTACATTTCAAACTGTAGACCTTGATGAATCACATCCGTGAGCACTTATTTTGGCTAAAACATAAAGTCTGAGCCAATTCAAGCAGGCAAACAACCGTTTTCTACAGTTTGGTCAATAAACCAGCAGAAAAATAACAGAATAAAATCATCGTCACATTGAGCAGAGCTGAAGCTGCCACATTTATAAAGCCGACCAACAGTCCAAAACAAATACCACCAGCAGATATTGACATTTAAGAAGCTGAAACGAGCAAATACGCTGCGTTTTTGCCTGACATCACACCAACAGACACCAATCCAACTGCAGGAATGTTTATATCGGTTGCAACAGGTTAGCTGCCTGTAAAAATAAACCTGCAGATTCAGTCCTATAGCATACTGCCAGCTCGCTCCGATCACACAGGATCACATGGCAGCTCTTTCCTTTGCGTTGAAGGGCGGGAGGGGGTCAAGGCCAGACCTTCTCAGGTGTTTCAACAACAAGCATATAGGTGGCAGGATATAAGTGCACCAAACAGAATAAAAGCAGCGTCACGTTAAAAACCAGCAGATTGAGGAACATGTCAGCAGGCTGTGGTTCACGCTGGCTTCTCTCTACGCACAAATTCTTTTGACATTAAGTCAACTTCTTGCAGCACAGTTTGTTTACTCCTCATCCCCAAAGGTTCCCAAAGGACGCTAGAAATGTGCAACAGTCTGTGGTGGGAGAAGTATGCAGAACCTCAAGTAGAACCAGGACTACTACTACAGTGGAAAACTACGTTATCATGTAGAGAGTACACATTCTGTAGCGTCACAATAAAGTAAATAAAGTAAAGAATTCACCATAATTCAAGGGCTGCAGCTACTGATTAGCCTAATTGATGATTAATCAGTGAGTTGTTTTGCCTGAAGTAGTGAAAAATGTGTCACGTGTCTTGTTTTGTCCACAAACAAACAAAAAAAGAAGTGTTTCAGTCACAGAAGATGGAAGAAAACACAAAATATTGACTTTTTTCCCCCAAAAAAAGTTGCTCAAACTGATATTATCCAATTAGCTGGCAATTAGTGACTAATTGGAGTCCTAGTCAGTGATGATCTGAGGGTGGTAATCAATTAACAGTTTAAAGTAAAAGTTAATGCAGAACAAAGTGAGTTCACAACGTGGACACACTTCAGTAAAACTACTACTAAAGTTAAATCCCTCCAATAGTTCAGCATTAATTTAGATTTTAGAAGAGTTCCAACACAGCATCTATATCTGTGAACGTCGGGTTACGTCACACGTATCGATCAGCGCCGATCAATAATCAATGTTTGCGCTAAAACAGCCCAAAAGTCGCCGGAGCAGCGACCTGCCAGCTCTGCCCCCTTACCCGGGCCCCTCTCTGGATAATAGCAGCCGGCTGTGGAAGCCTCTGAGCCCCTCTCCCCCAACCAGCTAACCACACCAACCCACCAACTAACCCAACTGGTCACTCTAACCGGTTAGCGAGAGTTAAATCACAGCGGCGCTAACGGCTACAGCAACAAGTAGCAGCGCACTTTAGCTAGCCGCAGGCGACGAATAACAAGTTTAAACCGGTTTTTTAAAAACAACTCGGTGAAACTTACCGACTCTGAGAACACGGAGGCGGATAAAAGCACCAGGAGGCACAGGCTGAGCATGGCTGCCGGTCCGTTCAGGTGAGAAACAGGCGCAAAACTTTGCTCGATTTATCGCTTTTTTAAAAATAAAAAAAACCCACAGCAGGTCTTCGGGCGGCTCGTCTGTTCTGTCCCGCTATAGTCCAACAAAAAGTCCAAGATGTCCACCTCTTCTTTCTTTTTATCGCCGTTCAGTGCGTCCCGTGTGTCGGCTCTCTCCGGCTGCTGCTCGGCTCCACTGAGGCTCCACACCGGCCCCTCCGCTCTTCTATATATCTGACGTGCCGAAGCCGTCATCCAATCAGCGGCCGCTGTTACCTCCACCCTCCCGCCTCCGTGGCTTTCGGGAAATTTGTCATTCAACAGGTTGGCCACGCCCCCTCCGCTCCCAGCGTCTGACGTGACCCCGCCCTCCGCGTCAACACGGCCGCCATGTTGGTCCGGAGCTGCAGCAACAGGAGACGCCTGTTTCCACATTTAACAGACTTTTATTTAGATTAATTTGTGTTTTAATGAAAACACTAAAACTATTACAGAGTAATGTTCTCCATCTGTGTGTCTGTGAACAGTGTGTAGCTCCACAAGTCCAACCAGGTGAGGTTCTACAGGTGAGCCTCCTCCCAATGGTCAGATTTTGGGGCCAATCAGTGCAAAAGTAGCCCCACCCCAGCTCAGAGTGATCAATCAATCAATCAATCAATCAATCATGATGATATTTTAAAAGCAAACCTACCTTTTGACTGACTTGATAGGTTTTTATTTATTTACCAGTTTTCATTTATTAATTTATTTTAAACACATTTCATTTATAGAGTTCTCCATTTATTCACCCATATTTCCATATTTTTTAATTGTACTGTTTATTGCTTCGTTTTTATTCTGTTAAGCACTTTATTTCTATATCTTTTAATACTAGGTATGTTTTTTTTAAATTTATGTATTTATCTTAATTTATCTTTTATTATTCTTTCCTCGTTGCCTCATGTTTTTCTCCAGTTCTTCAGTTCTAGCGTCTTAGAATCCTTTTATTAATAACTTGACTGTAGGGATGTTGTTTGTGTTGTTTTTATTTTCTGTAAAGAGTTTCTGGTTTTTATGAAGAGTGCCTTAGAGATGAAGTCTGACTGATTGGCTGATTGGAAGGTCGCTGTTTAGACCTTTTAAAGGACGGAGTGTAGCTTTGTGCTGTTTGGTGCAGATGGGCGGCCATGTTGGGGCTTTCTGTCAATGATGTCACATTTGACCTGGGGTGATATTTCAAGGTCAAACTCGAGGTGGAAAAAATGTTGATATCGCCGTTATTTTTAAATGACATGTACATGGATAGAACCTGTTTCAGCTTTAGTAAAAGAAAACACCTGTTCTGTGGTAAGTTGGGCAGAATAATGCTTCACAGGGGCAACTATTTAGTCCCTCTAATTTTTTTTACATGGATATAAGCAGCCGAAATGAGCTTCCTCCAGAGGGTGTCTGGGCTCAGCCTCACAGATAGGTTGAGGAGCTCGGACATCCGGAGGGAGCTCGGAGTAGAGCTGCTGCTCCTCGAAAGGCTCGGAAGGAGCCAGCTGAGGTGGTTTGGACATCTGATTCAGATGCCTCTAGAGAGGCTTCCTCTGGAGGTCTTGCGAACACGTCCACCTGGGAGGAGACCCCAGGGCAGACCCAGAACCCGCTGGAGGGATTTTATCTCTCAGCTGGCCTGGGAACTCCTCAGGATCCCCCAGGAAGGGAGGAGGGAAGTCTGGAATGACCTGCTCCACCTGCTGCCCCCGTGACCCAACCCCGGATAAGCGGAAGAAAATGGATGGATGGATGGATGGAGGTATGGATGGATGGATGGATGGATGGATGAAGGGAGGTATGGATGGATGGATGGATGGATGGATGGAGGTGTGGATGGATGGATGGATGGATGGATGGATGGATGGATGGATGGAGGTATGGATGTATGGATGGATGGATGAAGGTATGGATGGATGGATTTTGTACATTTTGGTCATTTTGATTTTCATTTGAATCAGAATCAGAATTTGCTTCCATCACAGTGGCGCCCATTCAAAGTGCTAGAAATGTAAACATCAGAAGAAAAGTGCAAGAAAAACCACATTGGACCAGAACAATACAAATATAAGTATAAACAACAGTAGATTTATATATTAGCTTCATTCTTGTTTCATCCAACAAAACCTAAAAACATTTTCATCTAGTTTACACAAGGTTTTGAATTGTTATTTTTATTTCTCATCTATGAATCAGAAACGACTGTCAGCAGCCGGGTGGGAAAAAAGAAAACGTATTTTAAGACATTAAAAAAACACATCTCTAAAAAACAAACCCTCAAAATATCAACAGGAATAAATTCAGAAGGTCTGGTGAGTGTAAGAACTCCTACTGATGACGGTGAGTCAACACCGTGATGTGTGTTTTGGATGTTTTCGTCCAACGAGGCTGAAAAAAGGGAAAAAAAAGTTTTTTTCTGAGTTTTTTCACTCCGACAAAGCGCTCTGATTGAACCACGGCTGTTCTTGGCCTCCACATTCTTTGTTCCAGTTTTCTTTCGACCTCATTAAGAGAAGAAAAGCTTTGTGTGCTGACGCCGGTTCAGTCGACGGGAAGCTGCTGCTGCTGCTGCCTTCGGGGCTTTTCTGCTGCTTCATGGAAACTCTTCCAGTGACGACATCTTCCGGTAAATTTCCTCCCTTCCTCTTTTTTTTTTTTTCCCTCTTTCGCTTTCTTTCCCTCAGCGTAAAACACACACATGATTTCACTCGGTGGAAACTCTTGTGTTTTGTTTTCCCTCCCGCCGGCTGCTGGCCGACGTGTTGCTTCATGTTCATGGATTCAGGTGGAGGTTGTTTGTTGTGTAACAGTTTGCTGCCGACCGTGTTCGTTATCGGGAAACTAACGATCATTTATGATGCTTTAAGTGTTTTATGAGCCTCAATCAACAACAGCTTGACTATGAACATTATTACAGGGAAACGAAACTTCATGGATTTGACTGAGTTATTAAAACATTTGTTCATTTTCTATTTTCCCAACATGAGGTTATTTAAACTTTATTAGACGAATAAGAAGAAAAAAGCTGAATCACTTCAGAGACCTTAAAAACATAAAACTAATGTTATAATAAATAGAAGTAACTTTTTTAAAAAGCTGCAGGTATTTTTTATTTGTTTATGTTTTATTAAAACAAGTTACAGGTAAATAGAAGCATTTTTCTCAGCATGAACACTGTACCGGCTAAAGTCAAACTGTATTCATTAGTTTTCATTAAAACTAAAATAAATAGAAGTATTTTTTTCATAGCATAGGCAAGACATAGTTTCTGTTTTACTTTTATTATTTTATTACGTTGTTTTTTGTTTTGTTTTGGTTTTTTGTTTTGGTTTTAAACAAAACAAAATTCCAAATTAATTAGTATTTCCCCTCCACTGTTATCACTGTATTGGCCACTGGGAAATCATGTAGGAAATAAAT